TTTCTGGGCCGGGGAAAGCCCGGAATTCCCCCAAGTTGGGAAATGGGGGGGGGGGTTATATGTTTCGGGGGTACCGCGCGGGTTTTCAAGGGACCCCCCCCCCCCCCCCCCCCCCCCGGCTGACCCAGGAAACTATTGGAGGATCGCACTGTTAAACACAGTAGTAGGACAAGTGTTCTGTAAGCTGCTGAACGATAGGATAGTTGGAGTATTGGAGACGGAAGGTGGGATAAAGTCAGGGCCATGCAGGTTTTCGAAAGAAGAGGGGGTGCGTAGACCACGCATTCGCGGTAGGGAGAATCATCCAAGGTAGAAAGAGGGCGGGGAAGCCGACGTACCGCTTCTTCTTGAACGTGCAAAAAGACATACGATACAGTTTGGAGAAATGGGCTGTGGATACATTTGTCCAAGTGTGGGATAAAGGGGGAAATGTGGAGAGTGCTGAAGAAGATGACAAAGTGTACGAAAAGCGCTGTCATGCTAGACGGAGAAGTGTGTAAATTCTTCAACATTGAACAGGGGGTCCCACAAAGCTGCACTTTTGCCCTCAACATGGTTCCAGGTGTTCATCAACGATCTGTTCAAAGTCGTAGAGGCAGTTGGGAGGGGAGTAAAGGAAGGGGAAACTTCGGTGTCGGGAATACTGTTCGCGGATGATTTGGTTGGGATGTCTGATACCCCTGAGGGACTTGAACTGGAGATTGACGCATCAAACGAGTTTGCTGACATGTGAAGATTGTCTGCAAACGTTAAGAAGAGTGCCGTCATGGGATGCAACGAGGACAGGGAGAAACCAGTAGAGTGTAGATGGCAGTGGGGAGTCGAGGAGCTTGCAGAAGTGGATCAGTACACATATCTCGGAGTAGAGATCGCGAAATACTTTCCAAGGTAGCGGAAAAAGGCGAAGCATAAGCAGGGAAGCTGCACCCAATACTCCCATACCGGCACCTCGATACACGCATCAAAATTGACGGTTTTGAAGAGCGTAATCGTACCGCTGCTAGAGTACACCGGAGAAGTATGCGAAGGAAATAAGAAGGTATTCAAGAGCTTGAGGCGGCGCGAATGAAAGCAGAGGAAATCATCCTAGGATGCTCCAAGCGCACAAGTAATGCAGCCGTCAGGGCTGAACTGGGGATCCTATCCTTGCGATCGGGAAGAGACGCAAGGAAGCTGACATGGAAGTACCGCATGTATGTGCTGTATGGGAGAGGAGAGGTTGCTGAAATAGCTTTTTGGGCAAACAAGAAGAGGGGTAGACAACCGATGGAGTGGGTCAAGCTTGTAGGTGACGTATGGGTTCGATATTGACGAAGGTGAAACGCTGGAAACAGAAGGTCTAGAGGGGTACAAGGAGAAGATATATATTGCTTTTGCCGAGAGAGAAGGACATCACCTAACAAAGAAACCAAGGACAAGGAGGGTCTAGAAGTGTACGGAATGTTCCGAAGAAGGAATAGGGTTCAAGGAGTACCTACATGGACCAATGGATGCAGGGACAAAGCTGAAGGTCAATTTTAGGGCTGGGGACATAGGCCTTCGAGAACTTGAACGAAGATTTAGGAAGGTAGGCGATGAAGACGACAAGTTTTAATGTGAATGCGACTCGGAGTGTGAAGATCGGGTTCATATAGTTGCGGAATATCCGTTGCACAAGCAGAGGGAAGTATACATGACTGAGCTGGGAAAAGTAGACGGAAGATATAGGGAGGTGTTTGAGGCCTGGGAGAGCCAGGAGAAGACGGTAGCTGTACTGGGACATCGGGAGACGGTGGGATGAAAAGGCGGGAGGTGATATCGATAGGATAAATAGGCTAGGGAACACATTTTTGAGCCACCTTTGGCAAAGTACGAAGGAACGATTGGCCATCGGTGATCGGTACTGTTCGAAAAATGCTCCGTCCTCTCGAGGACGCGTAGTCAATGGTCCAACCGCTAAGATATGCAAAACATGAGAGCCCCCCCCCCCCCCCTGCCCCCCCCCTCTTCCCCTCCCCCTCTCCCC